TGAACACGGGCCTCCTGCGTTGGGAGCGTGGAGTCTTAGCCACTGGACCACCAGGGAAGTCCCTACATTTACCTTTTCTGTGGATAATTTCAAACACATGAAAAGGCACACAATAATTTGATGAACTCCTACACATAATGAACTTCCATAACTATCAACTCATGTCCACTCTTGTTTCATCTATACCACTATCCACTTCCCCTTTCACAAATTATTCTGAAGCAAATCCAGAAAACATATCATTTATAAAAATATTTCAGCATGTATCTCTAAAATTATAATGGCTCTGGAACCAAGCAGGACCCTGTGAGGCTCCCAGGTACAAATCCTTTCCATGTCCCCTGCTTCTTGTTTGTAGGAAATGGGCTTCATTTAACCTCCTAAGACCTTCCCTGAGTTCCAAAGGGCAGATTCAAACAATTGCTAATCAGAGAAGTGAGGGAATGCAGAACAAAGGAGGAGCAACCAAGAAACAATAGTGCAGCAACTAGAGCTGGGTCCTGGTTCCTCCTCAAGGATTATACATAACAGTGTCTTTGAATTCTGCTACAGGAACTAATGCCCTGTCTAGGCAGAGGATGATAAGTTCAGGCTGAGCACAATCCTGGAACACCACTCTAGTTACCTCACCACCAACAAATCAGAAGAAAGTCACACCCCCTGCAGCCACCACCCCAAATTTTGCCTGTAAAACTCCCCCAAAACTGTTACGGGAAACTCTGACTGAAACTGCCTACCCTGGCCAGGCACCACAGTAGCTATTTGCATGAGTTATTTTGACAGGAGGTCCTGGTAAGGAACATGGAACTAATAAGCTACCACCAACCAGAAGAATTCGGGAAAGGTCAAAAGGTCCATATGTCCTACCAATCTCCCAGAATCCTCCTCACTGGAATCCATCTTGGCTGAGCCATGTGTGCGCCACCAGGAAGGACCCTGAATCAGAATGATTGGCCAGAGACAACCCAGAAACTAATCCCATCACCATAAAACCCGAGACTGCGAGCCACATGGCAGAGCAGTCCTCCTGGGTTCCCTTACCTCCTGCTTCCCACTGGGCTGCCCCTTCCCAATGCAGTCTCTTGCTTTGTCAGCATGTGTGTCTCCTCGGACAATTCATTTCCGAGAGTTAGACAACAGCCCGCTCTCGGGCCCTGGAAGGGGTCCCCCTTCCTGAAACAAAACCATTAGGGAGTTCTGGTTTTTTGAGTTCGAGCCACCCATTCTCCTTTTACGTTCTTTACAATAAACATTTCTCTGCTCCAAACTCTTACGTTACTCAGGCACACGAACTTGCATTTGGTAACAGCTCTTTTTAAAACTATAATACCACTAAGTCACACACCACATACCATTTTTATCTTTGCAAGTTTCAAACATACATACTTGGAAGATTCATCAAGTTGAGAACATTTTAATGACCAGTTAAAGCAAACAAGAAAGTAGGATTACATGGAAAAAAAAGTTTAAGTCAGCTGCAAAAATAGGTATCTAGCTAACTATACAAAGAACTGCTAGAAGTGAATTGCTAAAGACAGATGTAAAATCAGTAACCAGACTCACCACAAATAAAGAAATCATCAGAAACATGTGTAAAACAAGCCAGCTAGGAAAACAACAGTCCACTTTGTGAATAACAGAAGGGAGAAGAAAAAAAAAAAAAGACTGTGATTATCCTAATGGTGAAATAGCTTCTTCTTGGAGCACAAAGCAAGTGGTCTTTATTTATAGTTGGACACAAAGGAAAAAACTGCTCTTGGTTTTAGCATACCTGTATTAAATGAAAATCAGAGGTGCAAATGACAATAGCTCTTTGGCACACAAATCATCTGAAAATAAAACTATGAAATTGTAGCAGGGAAGAACAAAAGCTGACGCCATGTTGGATCTCTTTCTTTTACTTTGACCTTTGCTTTCCATTATTTTTGTTCTGTCTATAGCTATAGGCATACATAATGGCCTGCCTCAGGGAACCCTGCCCCTCTGCCTGAATGTTAAAATAAAGTGCCTTTGTTCAGCCCACAGGGAAACACCCTGACCCTGCCCGCTTCTCAATGGCTGCAGAAAAGAAGAAATTAACACACCCCCTCCCCGAGGCTGGCCAAAACCAGGAGATATTCTGCAAGATTTATGGCCTTTTTACTTTACTTCCTCACCTCCTCCCCCTCTCTGTTCTATAAAGGAAGCTAGCATCCAGACCCCATAAGATGGTACCTCTGGGACGCTAGTTCACCATCTTCTTGGACGACTGGCTTTCTGAATAAAGTCGCTATTGCTTGCCTCAACACCTCGTCTCCCAATTTATTGGTCTGTCATGCAGCAAGCAGAGCGAGCTTGGACTCAGTAACAAAACTCTAGTTTTTGTTAGGGAGAAACAACCTTTGTGCAACACATGAGTACTTCCTAGGGCTCTGTTTTCTATTCCCAATCCATACCCTGTCTCTTAGACATTTTTTTCCTTCAGCATTATCTTATAACTACATTCTGCACTTTATCATATGTTTATATATGTGTATTTAATGGAGATATGAATGAATACTCACTCTTTCTGTAAGTTTCTTAACATAGGTCTCTTTTTGGTTTGAATTTGTAGAAAGACCAAAGAGCCCAATTTTAATATTTTCACAAGTTCCTCATAAGTAAAAAACTCATTCATCATTTCATGAATGAGATATTTTGATCATTTAAATGCAAATGTGAAAAAGACTTGATATCCAAAATGGACAATATATGTTATTCATACAAAGCGTTTCATAATCTGGGCTTAACATAAAAGACCCTGTTTTTAAAAATCCAATTAATTGCAAATTTATAGAGAAGACAAGAAAAACAATTTTTGGACAAGATTGTAATTTTTGAGTACAGATTTCCAAGTATATAGAAGACATGGTTTAAAATGTTTGAACATTACCATTTTTTTCTACTTTACTTTCAAAAAATTAACTGATACTGAAAATATATATACAATTATTTAATAGTCCTTTTGCCTGTTTAGATAACTTCCTTGATGTTCTAGGGTTGGTCAAAGTTGGAGGTGCAAAGTTGGAGATCTTGGAGTTAATCCATTCTTTCTTTTAATCATGAAATGAAAATTTGGGGACACCAAGATAGAGACTAATCAAAGAATTTCACAGTCTCTTTATTCCCTATTTAATATAGGTTCAAACACTATCAGATGACCTGTTTTACCTTCCCTGCCTCAAGGTGGAAATATTCAATAGTCTAAGTGGTCCTGAACTCCTGCTCTGGGGCTGCTCAACCAGTAGATGGGAAATTTTACATACAGGCTATAGATGGGATGAGATATTCTGACCCTTTCCATACCCCAGGGAATGTACTGAGGATCCATGTTTAGTTACAATTTTGCCCTTGTTATAGTCTCATTTCAACTCTCTTCTGATTTGGGATACAAGTAAGTGTCCTCTTAATCAAATTTAGGGAGATTTTTAATAAATCAAACCTAAGGGGATCAATTGGGGGATTTATAAACATTAGTCAATATCCTTCAGAGTGAGTATAATCCTCGTTTTATAGTAAAAGGAAATGGTGAACTTGGTCTACCTTAGTGCTAAAGAACATTGCTCTAAATTTTTAATCTCGTCCATTTCTGATGAGAAGAAATAATACATATGGAGGTAGCAGATTTTCAGATCTCATTTGCACAATACCACAAAAATCCCACTTGCCCCTCATTTGTCAATGAGATAGTGAACAATGTATTCTATTAACCCAGTTTCAAAATAAAAATAGAAGCAAAAGCTAGAGTGCATACTATATTGTAATCTGCCTTTGTACTTAAAGTAGTAAACATTTTTCCAAGTCATATTTTCTATGTAACTTTTAACGGCTTGACAGACTCCACGTATGGATATTTCATAGATAGATCTAAATATTCTATTCCTGGGCATTTAGGTTGTTTCAAGTATTCAGCTATTATAAATAAAGCTGAAACAAATACTAGTATGTATTTATACACATCTCTGATTATCTTATATTAAATTCTTAGAAATGCAATTACTGAGATGTGTTGCAAATATTTTTTCCCAGTCTTTGGCTTACCTTTACTTTTTTTTTTTTTTTTTTT